GAGAGAGAACGAGAGAAGAGGAGGAGAGAGAGAGAGAGAGAGAGAGAGGAGACAGAGGAGAGAGAGGAGAGAGAGAGAGAGAGAGAGAGAGAGAGAGAGAGAGAAAGTACACCGATTTGATAATTATAATCGATATGATAAATGAAATTCCATGTTTTTTATTAATGTGATCAAAATGTGAGAGAAATGTTTTGAAAACAGTTATTACGTGTTTTGTGGAACTGCTGCACCTTAGTCTGTGCTGCATCTTCTGAATACTACGAATTTTTGCTTTTGGTCTTGCATCTTTTTTATCTGTTTCCGATTTTTTACAAATCCTATAAATATCATATTTTGCTCAAAACTGGGTGCTCCTCGTAGATCTAATAAAAACAAATATTAATGATTCCTAGAATTTCGCCATTGCTCTCTTGGCCTCACCCACGATGTTAGAACTTAATTCCTCAATGATGAATTAAAAAATACCCATCTAATATAACAAAAAAAAAAAAAAAAAAAAAAAAAAAAAAAAAAAAAACAAGGATAAACTCAACATTAACTACTTCGGCCATAAAGAGTTCCGGCCACCTATAGAATAAGACAATACTGGCCTTTTCTTAGTTTCTTTGGCGACCCAACCGCTGGAGACAGAAAGGGGAGCCTTCGTGGGCCTGACTGACCGCATCAGATGTATGTGCGTATATTGATCCGATGCTGATATTGGAATTCTTACCTGGTTCATACCTTACCATCCATGTTTAGTGGTTTCTGTAGAATGGAACAGTGTTATTTAGAACAATGGCAGTCTCATATTTGTTAGGATTATCAAGGACAAAAAGAGAAGGCACTTTGTGGAGTAAAGGTGAATCCAATTTGTAATGATACACAAAATCCCAGCATTTCCAGGAGCTAAATTTTGGATATATTATTAGACCTTGTATTTTCTCCTAGACGGAACATCTTAGACGAATCAAAAGAAGATCAGTGGAATACTTTCGTTTCTTTTCAAGATGCTTGGTCGACTCGGCCGTCTCAGGCGGATGTATAGGAGGAAGTATGGGTGTTAGGCCTATTTCTCCTCTCTGTTATTGTCCCTTTTGCGGTGGGTAGGCCTTCACAACATAACCCCAGACAGTCACGTTCTTCGTCGCCTTCTGGAGCAAAAGAATAACAAATTTCATTGCAGAGAAATTTTTAGAAATATGTATTGCAATGCCCATATGGTGCACATGAGCTGTGGGTGAAATCTAATGTTTTGCTTCGCTCTATTGTGTGTTTTTTCATCTGCAATGACTGAAGAAATAAAAGTAATTTATCAACGATAGAATCATTCATCAACTTAAAAAAATAGATTTTGAAGTAAATAGTTAACGCATTCTAATTTCATTACTGTGTGTTTCCCGTGACTGTTTTAACTTGCAAGAAATTCATCTAGGGGTGGGCATTCAAAATCAGTTTTCTAAATTTAGTTTGAAATAGACAAAAACTATTAAAATTCAACTTGGGGTCTTTTGGAGCATGTGTTACTGAGGCTGTGACTGTCTCTAGGCCACATCATCTCATCACGCTGTAGACTGGATGCTGAAGCTTGTGGGAGAGGATTTCACTGAGCAGTGGTGCGTTCCGTTGCTTTGCGGACGGCATTTCATCTCTTCTTAGGATGCGCGAGAGGCTGGAAAGAAGGAGAAAGTTTAGACCATCGTTTTTCCCAAGTCAGGGGATGCTTTGCTTCAAGGCGCTCACAGAATAGAAGCGTTTGTTTCGCCTACAGGGCGCCAGGCAGCCCCGCAAGAAGTGATGTGAGTGAAAACCAGTGAACGAAAGCGATAATCAGCGCAAATCTCCAGCTGGCTGGCTACCCTCCTCAAGGTCCTGTGACGTCTGTACATTCCAAAATGGCGGACGGGAGGTAGTGGCCCGAACTCCGTACAGGTAAGAATTTTATTAATTTTCATAGGGTATTTGGTACCTAGTTGGAAATTTATGCAGTGTTGTTAGTTTTTGAAGACATATAGCACGTTTTGAACATAGAATCCATTGCGTCTGACTTGGATCAGAGGCGGGAGAAGAGGTTGAAATGTGTAAAGTCGGGCGGAGAAGTGCTGGTTCTCATTCATTCTTTGCATGACACGACTGCGGGCATTTAAATTCTACTTCCTGGGCATTTAAATTGCCAGGGTTTCTGACGAACCATTTTTTGTGTTATGATAAACTTCCAAGTGTTACGAATGTTTACTGCATGCGGAATGCAAACAATTTGATAACATATATTTTGTCTTAACTATGTAATCATTGTGAAAGAGGTCATGCCTAATTAATCCAATAAAAAAGTATCCCAGGTAAGACGAAATGTATGGGGTGGCGTTTCCAGGTAAGTTTGTTATCTCAACAAGCCTTATTTAATGTTAAGAATATTATATGTCTAGTGCAAGTTCCGATTTTTTTTTTAATGTTGACCCACACACATTGTATGGTTAACTATGTTTTCCATAGTTATTTTTCTACCCATGTATTTCTGTGTCATCAAATGCTTCCATACTGCACACAGCCCTTGTCCAGAAATGAGAAACGCCACGACCGCCCGGAGAAGCCTCGGCCTTTCCTCTCAGATGGATTTACGCAGTTCACGGCCAGGCGAAGCCTCGGCCTCGTTTCCGTAACACGCTTATTTCGGGTTTCCATTGCGTGACTTTGCAGCCGGTGACAACCCCAGATCTCGGCTGGCGCTGGAATGGCAATCATTAATCCACAGATGATATAATGTTCCTTCAATACACTGTTGCCATTTAATGCGTATGTATTGCGTATTTGGGTCTCTCTCTTCTATAGCCGGACCTGGGAGTATGATTGCCTTCTGTCACATTTTTACCGTGCTGCCGATGACGTAAAAGCTGCAGATACGCCGAATTTTGGCCCAGGATGGTAAGGAAACACTAGGGGATGTAATTCAGGCCTTGGGTACTATTTTGGCCAACACCGGGATTGGTTTCGGTGAAATGAGGTTTAACTGAAAGACGAAGAACACGCGGCAGTTCGATTTACTCGTCTTTTTTTCCTGTCACTGATCAGCTAAAGGTGATATTGAGAGCGCCTTCGAGGTTTATTGATTATTTCCATTTTTATTTTCCGAAACACTTAATGATTTGAGAAGAAAAGCTTTAATTCCTTTATCTCTGGGTATTTTATGGCGAAACCCGAATTATGTGAGACGGCTCCACGACGGTGACCAAGGACTTGCAGTCTGTCTCAGGCGAAAACGTCCATAATGATGAAAAGATTCCAGCGGGATAATTTGCACTGAGGCTGGATTAGATATCCAAACATCCAGATCGACGCGGACGATTCATGAAAGCCTAAGGCTGTGGAATTTCATCTCTGCCTTGTGCCGTTCGGTCTGACGCTCTGAACACGTTTCAAGGAATTCCATTTATTGAGAATTCTATGCGATTATTTTAAAAATCGCCTACATTAAACTGTGATGCCAATTTTGGCCTTGTATTGGTAAATCATTATGTATCACCTAGGCCTAATTTAGCCAAAGACTTTTGAACAAGAAGTTAATAAATGCGGAAACATGATTCAAGCGTTTATCATGAGGGACTTTAACCCATTGGTAGGCCTAGCACAAGAAAAGAAGCAAACGAAAGGACATAGGCCTATGTAAGAGGAAATGGATATACAA